GCTGTTGACGGCGGTGCGACGGTTCGGCATGCGAATTATTTGCTAAATACCAGAAAAGTGAACGATAAATGAACAGATCGGAGCACCGCAGAGACTGAAGAAGGCTGGGCAGAGGCAGGGGGTGGGATTGGGCCTCAGATGTGGATCACTTGTTCACTTCAGCTCGTTTCTGGCTTGGCTCAGCTAACGGGTAGCTCGAAAAAGGCAGCAACAGAGTCAATGATCGCTGATCAGTGTTCGATTGATCAATTCCTCAGTTCATACATTATATATATTATAGGTATATATAGCAGCAATTAGAGCTGATTTACAGCTTTTGAAACTTTGATCAAATTTGGAATGCGATCAATTGAGGCTTAGCTAAAAACAAAACACAATAAAGTTATTAGAGCGAGAATTCTAATGATCAAAAAGTGTTTGATTATACTGTAAAGCGAATAGTAATAATTTGATGTGAATAAAGAAAAAGACAAACAAGTCTTAATCGCTGCTTATTGCATTTAAATTGTGAGTTGAGAAATATTCAAGTATGGGAAAAGCTCATCTGCCTTCCCTTAGACACTCTTATCTAGTATATAGATGCATTAGTTTCTATAGATCATATCATTACAGTCTTTTGATCATGGCCTGATCATACAACAATACATATATAACAGCCATTAGACCCTTTCCTAAGCATATAGCCTTTTCCAATCTTATGCATTTCTGCTATCCTCCTCTTGATCATTTGATTGACAAGCTTCAACAATCTTCACAGCTCATCATATATTCTGTTAAGTATATTCTACATACATATTCATTCTTAGATTTATAACAATACTGATCCTACACAACAAATGCCAAGTCTTTGCCCTTCAATGCCTCGACTTCAACTTCATTCTCTCAACTGATCTTCAAGATCTCTGCACAGTTCATCATAACAAAGACCTCAAGAACATATTTTACACAAAGTATATCATATATATGCTCGTATTCAGATTTATAGCAACACTCGATCCACCGATCCTTCGACTTCAACTGATTTCATTCAAGTGATCTTCAGAATCTCTGCGCAGTTCATCATTTTGTTAAATAAAAATTATTACGCCCCAGAGGCAAACATTTAGTGGTAGAGCAGAGGAGCTCCTACATACATATGCTCGTATAAATTTATATATTTCATCGGAAGCACGCACAGTGTGATTAAAATCTGGCTTTCAGCTCCCGAGCTGAGCACTGTCTCCGATTTCCTATCTCTCCCTCTCCCTTTCTCTCTGTTAGTCGATCTCTTTTTATTGCTTAATTGTTTGTTTGGGTTTGTGGTTGGGTTTCTTTTCTTTACTTTTGTTTTTGTGAATTATGAATCGTTTTGTGTTTCGATTGTGTAACAGGGCCCAAGAACAGTTATGCTACCTTTCACAGCGCCATAAAATCCTCGCCTGCCAGATCCTACACGCTGATAGCGCGCATTTCTCTGCTACTCGAAGTCACAGAAATAAAAACAAACAAAAAAAAACAGAAACGAATCATCTCGTTGCGTTATTTTATCACCTGTGTCACTTTTATTGCTTTCTCCTGGGGGCTGAACATCTTGACAGATCAGCGATCGCGCTTAGTTTATTGCTTCCTCCAAGCAACTGGGACTGCAACTAGTTGTTGACTGCATCCTTTGAGTGTTGGCTTTACTGAAGTGTACTTGTCGATAAATGGAACAATCGAAGTTATCCTTAAAATATGTCTTGTAACTTAACAAATTTATTAATAAAAGAATCGCATATCGATAGGCTTAGTGCAATACATTTCACTTCACTCTGCACTTCAAGTGAACTCCTTATATCGATTGATTTATCGATGCACTAGAATTAAAACTTATCACAGATTAAAACTTATATCAGATTTGCAATATCTCAGCTCCTGATACACATATTTATTATCTCGCCTGACAACAACTTAATGATCGATAACTTTATCGATCATACTCTATAAGCACTGCAAACGCCACGTTCTTCGTTTGTTTTTGTTTTGATTTTCGCAAGATAAAAACAATCAAAACAATGCGTCGTCGATACGCCGCCCCGTTGGCTATTTGAAATGGATGCCTCGTGTGTCCGAGAAAACGTGATGGATAACTGGTCAGTGGCGCCTCTCTTGACCAATCCACTTGACTTGGCGCTCTTCCTGTGTGCGACTGGCAACTGATTAGAGGGAAGCACTTGCATACGTGCCACGGCCACAGCGACGAACCGGCCGGCCCCATTCATAAAGTCATGCAACAATTGGCTCCTGACTGGCATACACATTTCTCTCTCTCCGTCGCTCTCGCTCTCACGTGTGTGTGTGCACGATATATATTTTTGAAAAACCAAAACAGCAACTGAAACCGAAACCGAAACCAAAACCGAAACCGAAACCGAAACCAAAATGAAAAACTCAAACTCATGTCCAATAGGTCCATCAACAGCCGCAGCACGCACTCGGCCAAGCACGCACCTTTATATATGGCCATGCCACCGGCTGCTCACCAGCTCTTACTCAGCCACTCACTCAGCTCCAAAGTGGGGGGCACGCATCGTTGCACGTCCACGTCCACGTCCACGTCCACGTCCACGTCCACGTCCATGGCCATTGTCCTCGAGGCGTCCGCACGCATCAATTTCCGACCTACACAGAGCAGAGCAGCCGCAGCAGCAGCAGCAACAGCAGCAGCAGCTCCAATTGTCAATTGTCTGGATGTTCTTTTGGTCTGGCCGCTGTCTGCACGTGGATTTTGGAAGCGGAAACGCAGCCACGTTCACGATTCGATTTTTATGGCAGGCGGGGGGCAGGCAGGCAGAATTTTAGTTCCTCATTCATTGTCTACGCCTTCACCTAAACACAAACACATACACACATAGAGCCACCCCCTACCGGTCCCTCGCTTCAAGTGCAGCGCCACTTGGCACGTTTCCTTTTTAAAATTCACAATTGCCGCCAGCGACGCGTAATTGTGGGAGAATTCGCTACGCCAACTTGTCTGCCATTGACTCCGTCTCACTCTCACTCTCGTTCCCACCCCTTCTCTCTCTATCTCGCTGTCTCGCTCTCTCAAGAAATCGATCACGTTTCTACACATGTTTCACTTACGTTACGCTGCGCTTACGTAACGAGGATGTGGGAAACAGCCAGACAGTCATTGGCTGCTCCAATTAGAGCTGGCCAAAACAATCGATAACTAGTCAGAGATGGGAGAAAGTGCATCCAATTAACGATTAGGCCCAGCTAATAAAACTAAATAGAAATTGAGATAATTTAATAAATTGTGCAATGATTTCCGTTTGCTTAAAAATATAATCACTAAATTTCCTGAATTTTCTTATATTAACTTGATTTTAAAATTAAAAAGCTTATAAAACTGAGTAAAATCATAATTTTTCTTTACAAAAATAGAGTTTTATATAAGAACTTCTTCTTATTGCAACAATGTTATCATCCGTTTTAAGAAATTTGTACGCTGCTGATAAGAAAAATATTGTGGATAGTTTACAAATTGATTATATTTATGTACAAAATTTAAACTTCGTATACTTCACAATGAATTTTCACGATTCCCCAAGTCAAGATCTATTTTCATTAGTTAAAAATAATTTATCGCCTGTTTTCAACACACTGTGCACAGTGAGCACTAGCTGCTGGCAGCACAAAATGGCCGACGAGCGAGACATTCGCATTTCATGTTGGCCCATTGATGAAATTAAACAATTTCTGGGATTGCTTGAAAATTATTATAAACGCATAAAAACCAGGCGCAAAAGTAAAGCCCCAGTCGTCCGCTGTCTGCTGTGCGAGAGTGGAATAATAAAAGGTTCAACTGCCTCGCCCCCAGCCACCTACGCACTACTCCAGCAATTCGCTTGGTAAGTAGAAAATCCTGGCTACCTGTGTGTGTCGTGTATCGCGCCCCACCCGCACGCGCACGCAGGAAGGGCAGCTCCTGGCAGAGAGGCTCTGGCTCGGGCTTTGGCTGCCTGCGCCACCATTGGCATCTTGTCATTGGCATTTTGGTCACATACACAAACACACATAAAAAAGAATAAGAAGAAGCAAACGACAGACAACATAACAAACTCCCACACGAACGCACGCAGCTCACAGTAGTGGGCGTGAGCGAGAGGCAAACAGCCGAAAGAGCCGCTAAACAAATTCCCAAATGTGTAAAGAAGTAAACTAATTGCTGCGCGTGACGCAGCCCCAACGAAAACTGGGGATACCAGCACAGCAGTATATAAAAGAGTGAGAAAGAGCCAACGTGTCTGCACAGTAATCCACAGCCAGTGCCAACGCGTGCGTGTGAGCGAGCGAGCAAGCGAAACCAGTTTTAGTTTACAATACAACGTCTGCACGTACACACACACACACTGATGTACACATAACAGACAGCTGCGCTGCTTTGCTTAGTGGATATGGCACGCTCTCGCTCGCACGCATTGCTGTGCTCATTTGGTATGCGCGCTATGTTGATTCCGATTCGACGGCAGTCACGTCCCGCCCATTTGCACGCACACACACACACACACACTGAGCACAGGCACTGGCACTGGTACTGGCACTGGCACTGGCACTACACCCACACAGCGGCGCAGGCTATAGAGCGACGGCGAAACGAGAGAGCTTGCGGCGAATTGGAGCGTGAGGCTGCTTAAAATGCTACTGGTGCGCCCTGTACATGACCAGGCGCTGTGTCAGGTGCACACACACACACATACACTCACACACTCACACAGGCGCCGCTGCTCGCTCACGTTCGTTGGCTGCTCGTTCTTCGTCGTGGCTGCTTCGTGTCGAGTCAAAGATGTCACCCCCAAAAAATGGTCTAGCTGTGTGCGTGACTCTCTCTTGCACTCAGTGTGCGTGCCACAGTGAGCGAGTGTATGTGTGTGTGTGAGGGGGTCTATGGCAGCGCTGCCTTTTTTTGCCTTACTTTGGTTTTGTTCGTGACGTGAACGTGACTCTGAATTATTCTGCACGTATTCGTCGCCCGCAACGGACGTACTACGTAAACACAACTCTCGTAACGCGCGCGCTCAGCAGTTGTCTCTAGTTTCAGCTATTGCTGCTGCTGCTACGTCTGCTTCGTCTTCTTCTTCTTCGCCATCATCATATAACTTTTACGTTGCTTTCAACGCCGTTTTGCTGCAGTTTTCACGTACGCTGCCCGGCCGTGCAACTGTAGCCGTATCCGTATCCGTGTCGACGTGTGTGTGGGTGTGTGGGCGTGTATGTCTGTGTGCTTGTGTGAGTGTGGCAGCTACCCTGTGCGTGCGTAATTGGCGCCCATTTGTTTGCAGGCCGCAACGCGTCGACAGCCCCCAATACCAATCGCAATCGTAGTCCAGCCTTTCATCTGGATGCTGCTAACGCGTCTGACGTGCCAAACGCGTGTGACGTGCGAATTAACTGGCCGCCAAGTCGATTGCACGCTAATTTGAATGCCAATCGAAGACAGCCAGACAGACAGACGCAGCGACAGACAGACAGAGAGACACTCGACGTTAGTTTTACGTGCGTGTTGCGACGTGCGGGTCGAAGGATAATTGAAGGAAGCAACCGACACGTACGCGTGCTCCACCAGACAACACAGACAACAGCACACAGGATGCGTCGTTGACCTGCTGCCCGAAAAGTGTGTCAAAATTAAATTGAAAGATTGAAAGGATAAGAAAAGCCCCAAGTGCAATAATCCCCATATATCCCACCTCCTACATCGAAACCGAAAACATGTGCCAGTGCTAGCTAGGAGAACCGTTAAGAGTTAAGTCCGTTAGCCAGGGGAAAAGTGAAAAGTGAAGAGTGAAGCCGAACTCAAGTGCTACAATGTTGCCCTATCAGGCCGTGGCCATGGACTATGCCGGCTATCAGCGCCAGCCGACGCCCGGCCATCCCGGCAGTCACATGGTCGGCTCCTTGGGCATGCCCGCCGTTCCGTTCACCCACTCGTGGATGGTGCCCACACAGGACCTCTGCGGCATGTCGCCGTACAACAAAATGCCAAATCAGCACCAGCCGGGCGCACCCGGCATGCACGGACAACAGCAACCCATCGAACCAGGGTTAGTTGATACCGGGTAAATTGACCAAATTCTAAAATATATCAACTAAATTTAGGGGATGCTCAAGAACGTTTTAGCTGTTCGAATCTCTGCAACGGACATGCATTAGGAGACTTGGCTCTAGAGATGAACGTAGCTCAAATATCGTTTAGCTAGAACTATCTGGTTGAAGTGCTTAGAATCTAAATAAAATAGAGTCTTATATCTTGATGGATAAAAACATGCATATATATATATATGATATATTGATATATATATTTAGATATATGTTTACCCTGAGTATCCAGCATGAAATGTAAGCTCAACAATCACAGTTCTAGAAATTTTAGCTTGAAAAGCAAATATTAATAATTGTAATATTGAGAACTTGAGAAAGTTGACTTGCCCTACGGCAAGTCTGATAATATAGTTTCCATAGGATTTTCTTCACATGGCCAAAGCTTTGTCTTTTAACCATCTTTGATGTAGGGCAAGATATTTTTTCCATATTTTCTACATGATTTTTGCAACTGAGTTTCTCTAAGCGTCAAGTTTCTCATTCAAAAACTCTTTCTTAAGTCAAATAATAACATCAAAATAACAAAGTTATACAAGAATTTGAAGTTCCATAAAATCTGTTGAGTTTTCTACAAATTTGTAGTCAAAACTCCAACTTAAATTCTTTCTACCAAAATTTTTTGTAAAGTCAAGAAATTAAAAAGGAATAGAAAAGCTAAATAACTGTAAACCTGCTTGAGTTTTGATGCTTTCTATAATATTTCAGTTCTTATGAGTTGGTTGTTTCTCCGAAAAACTATAGCAAAAAATAGATCTACTAACGGACAGAGTTGTAGAAAAGTATTTCGATCGAAATATGAAAGTTTTTATACTAATAGTAAAAATAGTAAAAGGTGCTCAAGGCCAAGATGCCATGGCTCTACATAGCTATATTTGCAACCAATCTTAGGCACATAAATTGGCATAAAATAAAGACAAAATGTAGTAATTGAAACCGAAAAACTTCAGCATTATTTCCATTCTCACTTACATTCATAACCAAATTTTTGCTGATCGACTTTCCAGCTCTTTCCAAAGCACTTCAAATTTTAACTCTATTTTCCGTTGATTTCAATGATAGAACTTTTAAAATTTTCTTTCATTAACTCTTACATCTGAATTTCCACTTAGGGTTACCAAGTGTTTCCACACACATTTTCCAGCTCACAAAGCTTTCCAAAATAGTTTTCAAAAATCATTTCAAAAGTAACTTCAAATATTATCAGACTCTTTGTGGCTTGCTCCAATTGCAGACACTCCAGATGCAGTTTTATGACTCTTTCAGAGAGTTTCATTTGTTGATTTCTGTGTTTCCACGAATTCCGATTACATAATGTCAGTTGATAGCTGGCCAACACTTACTATTTACAGCTATTCACGCTGTGTTTGGCAGCAAACACAACAGAAGAAAGAAAAAAACAAATAAACTGATAAAGACATAACGGCACTTCTCACAGCCCCTAGACAATGAAGCGAAACAATCTCATCCTTCAAATTTCCTTTCTCTTCTCCTCGGTATGTGTGAACAGTCGGGAAAACCCGACTGCTAAAGAAAAGCAAGGAAAATGCAGTTTCACCCTTATCGCGATCGTCGGCTTGATTTTTGGCAAATTGCTTTTGTTGCTAACCGCAGCAGCTCAGATCTTGTAATCCGCTTAGATGCCCAAATTCGCCTTAAAGTCTTAATCAAATGACAATATTTTGTGATCCCAAGGTAAATCGATTAATCGATCTTTCCCAGCAAGTCAAGTGGAAATGGGTTCAAATCAGCTCTAGGCAAGCTTTCAAGGCTCACTAATACTAAGACAACTCTCAATTATCAGTAGAACATACAGCGTAGCTTACACACGGATATAGCACACATATGGGAAAGCTTTTAGCATATATATGGTCCTCAATAGGGCAAAGCACACAAATACTAAGATCTCGCTCAACTCTTAGCACTCAGTAGAACATCAAGTGCAGCTTTCACACGGATACAACTCACATAGAGCGTTTGTAGTGGCTTCCCTTGCCAAAGCTCCCAAAGCTCACACACACAAAGGCAACTGTCAGCTGCCTTCGCCCCGTCTCTCTCTCGCCCCTCTCATGCCGCTAATGACATGCAATTTACACGGCAAATTATAGCCGCAGCTCCCTTATTTCGGCTTGCGAATTCGAATCAGGAAAAATCATTTATCAAGGCATTTCGCTGCAGCCCTGACAAATCGCAAAGACATTTCGTTTGGCTTACTTCGAAGGCAATTTAAATGTTATTTGATATTGAAGTCAGCCAAGATTAATGAGCCAGGTTCTCACACTCTTTGGCTAATTGCGAATTTGGTGGTTCCATTTCCAGTTAAGTTCTTTGAACTACGAGTTTTTCGGGTAAAAACCTCAGGTACTCTTGAGCTTTGAGCTTTAAAATTTCAAAACAAGCTCGGACTTAACAAACTAATTAAAAAAAACCAAAGCTGTGGCTGAGCTCGATAACTGGCTTGGCCCGTGGCAGACGCATGTTGTACGGGTTTCTGTTCGAAGCGCTCTTTACGCCGTTTTCATTTTAATTATCAACAAAATATTTTTATAACCCCAGCGAGGCAGTGCCCCTAACGATAAGCATCATCGACTCAAGCAGCAGCAGCAGCGGCTTCTTCTTTTTTTTTTTGGTTTTAATAAACTTACACAAAACGTAGCTCCAGCCCCAGCTCCAGCTCTGTGTGTGTGATGAGCGCATTTACAGATGCCCCACAGACATTAAAATAAATGTAAAAGGCCACAAAATGTACAAAGCGTACAGCAACTGAAAGACTGAAAGACTAAAAGACCAACAACAGATCTGGCTAAAGCCAGCTGGAAGAGGAAGAAAATTGGATTTGGCTATGGAGAAACTTCAGATACTCTACAAAAATTGGCATCACTCAGAAAGTCATTTTGAGTTGACGTGTGAGTTGCTGCATGAGATGTAGCCAGTGTTGAGACAGCAGTGTTGCATAAGCCAGTGTTGAAAAGAAATGCCAGATGCAGCAGAGCCCAATAAATATGTGAACTTATAGCCAGAATGAAGAAGTCTTCAAAGTATCTGCTATACAAAACTGTATTGTTTGGGGCTGGAGTTGAGCTTACAATGAAAAACAGTGTTGAAAAGAAGATGTGAATTCTAAGACTGTTACATAATTAACTCTTTTAATGCAATGTTGAATAGGAAGAAATTGAAAAGTAATTTGGCAACTTTTGAGTTCAGAGACTTAGGCTATGATGCGCTCTTGTGAATACTAAAAAATTAAAAGTCATAGTTAAATATTAAAATAAAAGTTTATCACACCTCAAAAACTGTACATTTATTATATACTGCATATCTATAGATAACGGAACAATTTATGAACACTCCTTAAAAATATTTGAAAAAGATATCAAAAATATGTAAAAGATATATGCCAATTCTATAAATATATGTGAATAATGTCTTAAAAAATGACTTAGCTGAAAATATGTTATAAATAAGTTTCAAGTGTGATGGCTACGCATTTTATATGGTCATCAAATGTTTAATAAGTGAAACTGATTTATTTTATGCCAAAAATATATTTTTATGTTATGCATACCTTATACCTTAGCACTTTCAACAAATACCAAAGAATTTTGGAAAAAAAAAATCAGAGCGTAAATTTTATGTTTCTCTTTTTATTAAGCTAAAGTTTTCCCTCAAGAATAAGGTTTATTTAGTAATAAATAGAGTTATATTTAGAGCCAATAGTTTCGTAATTGCCTGCAATTATTAGCCAAAAGAAAACTCAACCAACAACTGAGAAATTTAAATAAGAATTTTGATACCTGAAACTAACTGATAACAAACTAACTAAGCTTCAGCGAGACTATTCTAGTTAGCTCTAAGGCTTCTATTATGAGAACTCAAAGAAGCCATATCAATAACTGCTAAAATGCTGGCAGCAAACCTCGTCTAAATGCCCATGAGCCCACTCGCTTGGTAGGGCATAAAATTTCACTTAAAAAGAAACAAAAACGAAACGCGACGCGACGCGGCGCAACGCGACGACAACGACGAAAGATGACAACAAACTTAAGTTATGAACGCTTTAAAGCCAAGTTTCTGGCGAAGATGATGGGCCAAATGATATGAGCAGCAACAGCGGCAGGCTTTGAGTGTTTGCCCGGCTGCCCAGTTGCCCGGTTGCCCGGTTGCCCGGTTGCTGAATGGAAAACTGTGTGCAACTCAAAGAGATCGAATCGAGTATCTGGCGAGCGGCATCTGCCACAAGAGGAGGCAGCTTTTGTTGCGACTAAGCAAACAGCAGATCGAGATGCGCACAGAGAGCCAGATACACTTAACAATGGAAAATCTGTTGCGCATAGAAAATGAGGCAATTTTTCTTCAGCTAGAACAGAAGAAAAGCAAAAAGATCGTGAGAGTCTGTTCCGTTGAAAGGCTGACAAATGGCTGGCAATTTGTTGTGGACTCTGACACCATTTCATCAGCCAAACAAATTGCCAACAGTTGACAGTGCGACGACAGGTGTGAGTGAGTGAGTGAGAGAGGGAGAGAGGGAGAGGCAAGGCGTCTACCTGGAGGATCTACCTTGCCTTGCCTAGACGCAGCTTCCCATTCGTCAGTGTCTACTTAGGCCCGGCTAATATATCAATATTTATTGACTTGGCTTTGTTTGTCTTAATCTTCTCTTTCTCTTTTCTCTTGCAGCATTCTGGAGCTGCGCAAGGAGAAGTCCAGAGACGCGGCTAGATCGCGGCGCGGCAAGGAGAACTATGAGTTCTACGAGCTGGCCAAAATGCTGCCGCTGCCAGCGGCCATAACCAGCCAGCTGGACAAGGCATCCATAATAAGACTGACCATTAGCTATTTGAAATTGAGAGACTTTTCCGGTCACGGCGATCCGCCATGGACCCGAGAGGCGTCCAGCAGCAGCAAGCTAAAGAGTGAGTATCAAATCTGCCTGACTTACATTATAAGTTATATATTCTTAACTTCAAACACATTCCCCATCGTTTACCATATCAAATTCCTTGCCGAACAGCGTAACTCGCGATCGTGCACTCTATTTGCGCCACCAGTGTAAGTGAAATTTCATAGCTCATTTGCATACGCGACTGTACGGCGGCGTGGGCGGCCATTTTGTGCGCCATTGCTGCGACGCCGAAGAGTTAGTGAGAGAGGGAGAAACTGAGAGAGAGAGAGAGAGAGAGCAATAAAAACCGAAAGCAGGAAACACATTTGCCTACATTTTACAGTGGCGTCGCCACGCAACGGCACAGTGAAATCACGAATTTGTTAACTTTTCTATGCCAAAAACCAAAACTGAAAATAAAAATAAAAATAAAATAAAATTACAAACAATATGCGCGCGCACCTTAAAAAAAAAACAAATGCTGAAGCCAAACAATTTATTGGCTTTATTTATTTTTGGGCTTTTGACGGGCTTTTTGGGGGCCGTCAGTTGTCCATTTGCATAAAATATCGCTATTAAGCGCAATTTATATTTTATTTACTGCGCATGCGCAGCCATTTTACTCTCCCCCCTCCCCACTCTCTCTCCTTCTGTCTATGTCTCTGTCTCGCTCGCCCGCTCTGCTTATTTGTTATGTTGATTTGTTTTTATTGCCATGACTGTGTGTCATAGCTGTCACTGTGGAATTCCAGAAGGCCAAGCCAAGCCGATTGGACAGCACTCAGAGCTCATTGTAGCCACTGAGCCTATAGGCAATCAAAGTCTAGGCAATCGTTAAAGTAGCTAATAAACAGATGACAAACCTTAATAGAGTGCAGTTACGACAGCTTTCACCTGGACTATGGACTATGGCTGGTGACCCTTAGCCATGACTGCTATTTAGATATGGCTGTAATAGCAACATCATTTGGAGTACAAGAAATCAGACTAACATTTATCAGAGTTCAGATATGCTTAGGAAATGGCAAATATAAAATAAATCGGAATGACAAAAAGCATGAAAGTCCGAGAGTCTTAGAGTCTTCCTTCAGAGTTTAACTACAATTTAGTCTAAGCTATAAATTTATATTCAGTTCAAATTACATTTCATTCCAAAATGTATTTGCAGCTTGTCTGGAATTCGAATTGAATTCTCATTGAAGTGCCTGCTCAGGGGTCAGGTCGAGCGTTGCTGAGTGTCATAAATATGTGAGCTCTTGCAATATTTTCTCAGCTGTGGCCCATGCGCAGCATATTTATTTAATTCAATTATAGAATTTTACGATTATGGGCGGTCAAGCCGACCAAGCCAGCAGCTAACCCCTCAAACTGCCAGCGGGCAGCTTCCAGGTCATAATTCGCACAAGTGCAAATCGCTTTAGTCCAATGCCAAATCCCTTGGTTGCGCCCCAGCCCCAGCCCCTGCCACTGCCACTGCCACTGCCATTGCCTTGTCCTTGGCACTTTCCCTCCGTTTACCGCTTCCCTATCCGCTACCCCTTGCCCCTTGTGCCTTGTGCCTTACGCCTTCTCTCTGCCACTGTAAATCCCCAGCGATTTCTTTGCCTCGCCTCGACTAGCTCGTTGCCAAGTTGGCAAACAGTTTCCGCTTCCGCTGTCCATATGTGTCTCCCTCACCCTCCCTCTCTCTCTCTCTCTATGTGTGGGTGTTGAGGCGTAGACCCACCATAACAGCTTTGCCTTTAATGACCTTCCCTCGCCCCGCTTTAATAATATTTTTATATATGTTTCGTTTCGTTTCGTTTCGTTTTTTGTCTGTGGGTCAAATTGAAGTGGTTTTTATAGCCCGCAGCTTGTTGCTCTGCCTTTTTGGGCTTTAGTTGCGCATAATAATACAATTGCCGCCCCTGCGGCCCCATTGCCTGTGGCCATACATAACGCCCCATTGATTTTGGATTATTTTTTAGTGCCTTGTCTACCTTTTCGACTCGCTTTGCTGCCAGTTGCCAGCTGCCAGCGCCACTCCCGCCCCACCCAGCAGCCCCTGGGCTTAGCTTGGCTCAGTGCAGGCACCTCGTTCAGCTCTTGGCATGCCTTTGACGTGACAATAGCTGAACGTTGACGTGGCCAGCAGTGCATGACGTGGCAATGGCTGCCAGTTCAATTGGCAAACAAATCAAGCAAAGAGCCATGAATAGGGCTAACTCGAGCTGCAGCTTGACTTCGCTTGAATCACTTTAAGTTATCGGAGTGAAGAGCTAGATACCAGGCTTTAGTTGGGGTCTATCTATGTCTTGTCCATACATAGCATTATCTCTGTTCATAAGCAAGGACGGCCAGACGAAAGGAAGGAAGCACAGACAGCCGAACGGACAGCTTCCCGCTGCGAGAACGAATATCTAAATATATTTTATTGGATTTGAATTGCATATACTCTAGGAGTGTTTAGCATTTTGCTGCGTCACATGCACACCTTGTTTTAACACCTTTCGAATGTTGTTTTTGCCTCTGGCCAATCGCTAACCCGAGCCACTTTGCATGCGTTTTGTTGTCTATTGCAGGTGCAGCCATTCGACGCAGTCCCGCGGTTGATTTGTTCGAGCAACATCAGGGCACCCACATACTGCAGGTAAGCAAACGAACGAGAGAGGGAGAGGGAGAGGGGCGAGGGGCGAGGGAGATGGGTTGCTATGCGGGCAGCCATCTTTAGCTTCAACTTTATGCAAATTTGGCTAAATGAAAATTGTTTTTCTCTCTCCTCTAATTCGCTGCAGTCACTCGACGGCTTCGCCTTGGCAGTGGCGGCGGATGGACGCTTCCTGTACATATCGGAAACGGTGTCCATCTATTTGGGTCTCTCGCAAGTGGAGATGACGGGCAGCAGCATATTCGACTATATACATCAGGCGGATCATGCGGAAATCGCCGAGCAGCTGGGCCTCAGTCTGACGAGTGGCGGCGGCAGCGGCGGCGGCGGTGTGGGAGTTGGTGGCGGCGGCGGAGGCGGCGGCGGAGGCGGCGGCAGTGGCGCCGCTGGCCTAGCCTCGCCCACATCGGGCGCCTCGGACGATGGCAGCGGCACACACGGTACGAACAATCCAGACGGTGAGTCGAGTCCGAGTTACTACCACGAACCTGGGCATCCCGGGCGTCCAACTAGCGAGCCATAGCCGTTAACCAACTAAACCCTAGTTGGCCTTTAGCTAAACGCTGTTCTCTCCACTTGCAGTTGCCGCCTCCATGACGCAGGCCTCGACCAGCGGCTACAAGGGCTACGATCGCAGCTTTTGCGTGCGCATGAAGTCGACGCTGACCAAACGTGGCTGCCACTTCAAGTCGTCCGGCTACCGGGTAAGCCTCAAGCATTGACCATACATATCTGAGCCGTGCCCTGTAGCCTAGTGTAGAACACCTCAGTTTGAGTTCTCGTTTTGAGTTTGTTTTTGGTTTCGTAGCTTTGCTTTCTAACACTTAGCCAATTTGTTTGTCCGGTTCCCGTTGTGCTGGGGCAGTAGACTAACCGATCTTTGGTTGAACGTACTTACATATATACACACACATATATACATATATATAGAGCTGTCTGTTAGCCATTTATTACCATCACCATCCCAATGCTTATCTACAGGCGAGCGATGCAACCAGCAATTGCAACGGTAGCAATACAAATGGTAAAAATGTTAAGAATCCGGCCTCAAACTATTCGGTACGTATCAATTGAAATCAGTACAACAAAATGCAGAGCAACTAAGCAAACAATTTAAATTTAAATTTTACAAAAATCAAATAAATTTAAAATTAAAATTAAAATTAAAGCTAAAAATTAAAAGTTAAAACAAAATTTAATTTAGTTTATGATTTCAACAATCAGTTTCTCGATTTTCGGCCACATTTCGTTTGAGCAGGCAATGCAAAACTGATTTTAGATTGATCAGCATCGAATATAGCCACCATATACCGATATCACTCCTCGTAGATATCTGCTATATAAACTATACAACAGTATCGACAGCGAGTCAACACGAAGTCCGATATCATTATGATATTGGACTGATCAAAACCGTATATAGCTGCTATATAGTGTACACTGCCTAGAACACTCAATCAGTATTGGAAATAGCTACTATATAGAACATATATAAAGATCTATTGATGATCACTGATTACATGTTGATCAGTTAGCAATACATCTACTATATATGCACCTAAGTCAGCAGCTAATATGTCTCATCTACTATTCCTACACTACTATATCCACTATTCATCTATATATAATTGCTATATATACAATATTTGTACTTTATATCGATATATATCGATTTAAGATATACACAACAGTCTTATCTAAGGTACATCAACTATTTTTACCAATCAGAATTCTATAGATACATCGACTGATCGCTATCCTAAAGCAACTCTGCTCTCACTCTGTGTATATCAGCTATATTTCCACGAGACACCTTACATGTCCATAAGTACTAAAATATGTATACTATATATCATCAGCTGTTAGCAGTCAGGCTACTATATATCTGCTATATATACACAACAGTCAACAATCATTCGACTACATCATCATATATCTAGGCTATAAATACATTCCACATCAGTCAACAGTCAGTTCAGGAAATTCCTATACATATACTACAATAACATCTGCTACATATACTCAACCTTACACAGTCACTTCACTATATATAGTATCTGCTATCTACAGTCAATCTAAAACATCATCAAAGTCATTGAGTCTTCATTTATAGCTTTCAGCTTATTGTCAGTCACTTCATGTATAGCGTTCAGCTAATTGTCATTTGGTCAAATCCAAATCATCATCAAACACATGCTGTCCTCATATACAGCTTTCAGCTTTTTGTCATTTGGTCAAATCCAATTCAACATAAAACTCATGCTGTCCTCATATATAGCTTTCAGCTTTTTGTCATTTGGTCAAATCTAAGTCATCATCAAGCACATGCTGTTTATATAGCTTTCAGCTTGTTGTCATTCAGAGTAATCTAAAGCATCATCAAACACATGCATAGCTTTCAGCTTATTGTCATTAAGTCTAATTGTCATACAGTCTTCGCTGTCTCTCTCTCTCTCTCTATATCTATCTGTCACTCTCCCTCCCCCTCTCTCTTAGCTCTTAAGCAGCCAGTGTCTGACCTATTTTCACTAACTCCTCCACGCCTTGTCTTGTGTTTTGATGTTGTTGCAGGTGGTGCTGCTGCTGTGCAAGCTGCGTCCGCAATACACCTTCTCGCACACGCGCAAATCGCAGCCTCCGCTGCTGGGCATGGTCGCCCTGGCTATAGCGCTGCCACCGCCCTCGGTGCACGAGATACGTTTGGAGTGCGACATGTTTGTGACGCGCGTCAACTTTGATCTGCGCGTGGCGCACTGCGAGCCCAGGTGAGTGTCCGTAGTCCAACTGGCTTACGAGCTCCACTGATCCCACGTCTTCTGCTGCAGAGTATCTGATTTGCTGGACTACACGCCCGAAGACCTGGTCAACAAGAGTCTCTATTCTCTCTGCCATGCCGAGGATGCGAATCGCCTGCGCAAGAGCCACACAGATCGTAAGTTCCACGAGATGAGCTCACTCGAACTCAGCTAATTTGAATATTGATTCCCTTTCAGTGATCGAGAAGGGTCAGGTCTTGACTGGCTACTATCGACTGATGAACAAGAGCGGCGGCTACACCTGGCTGCAAACCTGCGCCACAGTCGTCTGCAGCACCAAAAATGCCGACGAACAGAACATCATTTGCGTCAACTATGTCATAAGGTGAGTGAATCCCAGCGGCAGCTGGGCATAGGATAAGCTGTAGCAAGCCAAGAGTAGACTGAAGTTTCTTTGAGCTTCTTGACTAGTCGAAATTAATAGGTAGGACCTCAGCCTCATCAAGGAAAGTTAGGATCTACAGAGCTCTTACTTCATATCAAAAACTTTCCAAGCCCTTAACTCAGGTTTCCCTTGTCTCCCATAGTTTCCTATGCGATCTATCCTTGTCAGGTAAACTGAGACTCTCAGTAGTTCTTGATCAATAGGGCTTATCACTTGCCTGCCAACAGTGCAGCTCCTTTAGCCAGAGTCTAGGCCTCTGTCTAGTGTAGAGTCTAGTCCTATACGATATATGAGTACAGCTGAGACAGCTTACCTAAGTCCCAGTCAATAACATCCGACTAACCCGTTCGTCCTTTGTCCATTTCCCCCAGTAATCGTGAGAATGAGAATCTGATTTTGGACTGCTGCCAGCTGGAGCCGAGTGTGGACAGCATCAAGCACGAGGAGGGTCTGGGCAACGACAAGAGCAGCGGCTCGCCTGGAGGCGATGCGTCAGGTGAGGGCAATGCCCACCTGAGTGGCGATATGAAGCTGGGCCTTGGCTCGCCCAAGACCGATGCCGAGGGTCACACGCAACGTGGCCGAGGACGCAATGCGACGCATGGCAGCAATCTCAACAGCAGCCTCTCGCTGATCAAGGACTCGCCCACGCCGCTGGGCGTTGAGGTCGATGGCGTGCTGCCTGTTGCCGTGTCCGCCACGCCCACGCCGACGCCGACGCCCACAAGCAGCGCGACGAGCAGCAAGCGCAAGCGCAAGAGCAAAGCAGCGCAGCAAGCAGAGGAGCAGCAAGCCGACCAGCAGCAGGTGAGTCAGGTGGGAGCTCAGCAGCTGCAAGCAGAGCAACAGCAGCAGCAGCAGCCGCTGAGCAAGCTGCCCGCGCTGGAGCAGCAGCGAGAGCCACGCAGTCGCCTGCCTTCGATGGTGGAGGACGTGCAGCCAACAGCCGCAGCTGACTCGGCTGTCAAGGATCTGGAGCATGCCATGTCCAAGCACCTGCCCTCGCCCAACAACAACAACAACAACAACAACAACCAGCCCAGCACAGACTTCAGCACAGACGCATTAATCAAACAGCAGCAGCAACAGGTGCAGCAGGTGCAGCAGCAGCTCCATGCCACGGATGCCAACGAGAAGAGCAGCACCATCCAGTGGATAGGCACGCCCTACCAGCAGCCAGCTCCCATGCCAGCTACGGCGCTGCTGCGTCAGCTCTACGCGAATCGCGAGAGCGTGATACGTGCCACAGCCAGGCAAACGCCCACAGGTGTGGGCGTGGGCGTGCCAGGTGTGTTCTATGGCGAGCAGCAAGGCGGGCCACTGCCCACGCCGCCAGGCAGCGAATCCTCCTATGAGAATCAGTATCTGCAGCTGCACTCGGCGGCAGCGGCGGCCTCTGTGCCACATCCCGTTGGCCAGAAGGGCGGCAACTCGGCGGACGCCTTTACGAACCTGGTCTCGACCTATGGCGGCTATCACAGCTCCATTGACTATCACAACGCCATGACGCCGCCCAGCTCCGTGTCGCCGCGCGACTCCAACAACTCGGCCAAGCTGCCCTCAACGGCTGCGCCACCTGGCCTCCTGGTGGGCTCCAATGGCGGCTATGACTATGCTGATCCCTTGCGTGGCCAATACGCCACACCTGTGGACGGCTCGGCAGGCGCCACGTTGCCCCTGAAACCGCAGGCCTACACGGCTGGCATGCATCCGCATGCCACGACCACGACCGAGGGCGGCGTCACCTACAGCAATCTGGACCAGCCGCAATACTTTGCGCCCCACTCGAGCTTCCATCTGTACCACAAGGGCAGCCCGGCGAGTGCCTGGTACTCGACGCCCTCCTAGGCGAGGCACGACTGCCAGCAGGAGTACCACCAGCAGCAGCAGCACCAGCACCCGCAGCAGCAGCAGCAGCAGCAGCAAGCGGAGCAGCAGTCACAGCGCTGGGACTTTGTTGGCGCTCTAGGCAAGGTGGCGCGAATGTTCTTTAATGCGCGCAAGGGCAACCACCACTGAGCCACTCGCACCACCAAGTGCTAGCAGCTACTGGCTGTACCTGTAGCCACTGCTGAGCGAACAGAAAGGCATGAGAAAGTTTGCAAACAAATTTTAAGCCAAGCTTCAAGCTGTACATAAAAAACTAAAATAAAAAATTATTTCTTAAAAAAATTGCTTAAGCAAATTTTATAAAATAATGCTTAAATAATTTTTTATTTTAAAAATTGTAATATCAATTTTTTAAATTTGTATAAAATATTTAATTTCAAGAGTTAAATATTTAAACATTTAAATTAAATTAAAAGGATTACGAAATATTGAGCAATAGTTTATAAAATTTGCTTAAGCAATTCTTTATTTAAATGCAAAAAAAAAAAAAAATATTATATAAAAATTATGAAATATTTTGATTTAAATGCCTAAGCAATATTCAATAAGAAATAAAATATTAAAAAAAAAACTGTATATAGAAAAACTTAAAAATGCAAAAAAAATAACCTTAAATAAAAATTTGTTTATTAAATATTTGAGTCAAGTAGTAAGCAAATATTTAATAAAAAAATATATTGAAAAAATAAATAAAATAATTAAAAAATAGAAATATATATTTAAATAAAAACTAAAATTTGTTTAGCAATTTTTTAATTAAATATTTTGGCAAATGTTAAAACATTCAATGTTGTTAAATAATATGTAAGTTTGTAAATTAATTTAAAAATAAAATATATTAAGTATAAATTAAATGCAGAAAACTCACACGACAAAACCCATTGAAATTCTATAAAAATACTCGGCATAAATGCAATTAATTAAATTTTAAAAATAAAAAATATAAATATTAAAAATAAAACTCTCGCATAAGACTTGGATAGTGTGCCAGCAACATATATTTAAAAATAAAATAAAAAAAATTAATGCTAGCACTTAAATCTAAAAACTAAATCAAAATGCTTATTCAACTAATTCTAATTGTTATTAATTATTTAAATTAAATTGTACATTTTTACCAGCTCGAATATCGCATAAAAAATATACTTAAAATAAATATATATATAAAGCATAAACATAAATATTAAAAATAAAATTATAATTAATATTTAACATTTTTACAACATATCAAATGCTTCCTCTTCTAGATTACGATTACAACTATAATTAAAAAATAAATTTAAAAATATGTCCTTGAATTCCCCTCAATTTTCTTAATTCATTTAATTTTAATTTTAACAAATATTATATAAAAAATTAAATACCTCTAAGAGTTCTGCTTAAGTTTTATTTGTGTTATGTTGTTTCGTCTACACTTTAGAAAATATATATATACATCTTATATATGTATTTGTATAATACTTAAAGCAAATCTGTCACACTTTTAGCTTATAAAAAATGTAATTTAAATTTTGTATAAAAAAAAAAAACAATTCAAATACGTTTTCCATAAAAAGGCTTAAATATTAAATATGAAGATAAACACATGAGATTGCCTTGTTTATTCCAGTTAGTTGCAGAAGTTACACTGAGCGAAAAATTGTATCGATTCACTAAGAGCTTCATTTCAAGAGTGTTCTCTGATTCTCAATTCTAAATGCCTTAAGAATGTTGATAACGCTTCCATTTGACAAGGACAATATATTCCGCTGCTTTTCTCTCAGTGTATAGCTCTTTTTAAGATATATATACATATCTTATTCACACGAACTTTACAATTTTGTCTTACTTTAAAACTATTTCCTCTGTCTCCTCTCCCTCTGTCCTGTTCTTTGCAAATTTCCGGTTCCTCTTTGTGAGACTTTCTCCCTCTCATATCTCTATAGTCTCTCTGTTATTCTCTATTCCTCGCTGTCCAGGTCTCCTCTCCATAGCTCCCGCCCCCTATCGCCCGCTGCCTCTCCATCTCTCTCAATCTGTCCCTTTATGCATTGCCCACATTTTAATTCTAGCTCTCTATATAGAGCTCTCTCTCTCTCTCTCTCTCTCTCTCTCTCTCTCTCTCTCTCGCACTCAATATGTTAACACCTCCCTGTCATTCCCCTTCTATTTCTCGCTCTCGCTGGATATCAACTACAAATCGCTTTATCGTTTGATTAATATAACAAAATTGACAGACACACATGTCCCGGTCTGACATCAGGTCAGCAGGACATCGGGAAGACGGACAACAGCTCGCAATGTCCATTAGCTCACTCGATTAACATAAAAAACGCATCAAATGCGAATTTGCCGCATTCGCTGCGCTCGCCAATGCCCGTGTCCAGCAGAGGTTGTTTTATTTTTTGCAGTGTGGCTTTGTGGCTGTCACATTTCTGTGATGGTTTTTTAAGCGAGCAGCCCCGACCTCTTCAATTAATCATCATTCAGCTAGGCAATATGCAAGCTAACTCAGTTTTATTGCAGCATCAGATATCCTAAGAGTGTGTGCGTGTGCGGGTGGTTGGGTTTTTGCCGAGCTTTTGTTTGTCTGTGTCGGTAGCCTTTGGCTGGTCCTTCTTCTGGACATTCGGCTGCTATTGGCCCAACTCTTTGGGCTGTTTCTTGAGCTTCTTCACTGGCCTCCTCTTACTACTCTAACGACTTGACATCGCTTGGCAACTTATTAATTGAAAAAAACCAAATTTGTTTCTATCCACATCCGAATTTAAAACAATGCTGGATAAGCTACGTACAAAGTAAAATATGAAATGTAAAATCATTTGAGCACATTCCATATCTGCATCCGAATTATAAGCAATGCTTGCTGTGGCTCAATATAAGTGAAATTTAAAATGTTAAATCACGCGCGCACATTGCATAGCAAGCAACTTTAGTCAGTGAGCAAACACTCGATAACTATCAGTTATTTAGAGCTCTTTTGCGATATACATCGTCAATGCTTAATTGGGTGCATCGATACATTGATACATCGATACGTTGTACACCCGTATTTAACATCACTAGTTCGTCGCTGCTCGCCTTGGTTTGTTCGGTTTCGGAGAAAAAATTAAATTCTATTTTATTTTGTTAATTTTGTTCATTATTGAAAGCAGAATTGCTTGTGGTTTCGTTACGTGTTCCATATGTAAACCCTAGCTCGTATAGGCAAACAACCAGCATACCATAACTTTATTTTCGTTTTGCGGCTTCGTTCTGCCGTTCCATTTTTCCTGTTTTATTGTTTTCCTTTCAACTCGCGGTACGTGTGCGTGTGAGCGACCGATCAATGCATAAGTGTGTGTGTATGTGCGTCAATATTTGTATAAAGTTGCGAAGGAGCCTTACAAATAAATGTGTTCTTCATATTTGCTGAATTTGTTGCTATGTAAAAAGAATACACACAACGTAAGACGTACCTAAGTGCTGGATGCAAAAAGGTGAGCTGCAGTTCATGTCCAAAGCGGTTCTTTTAACTCTTTCTCTTACGCTGCTGACTATGTGCTCGTGTGTGTGTGAGTGCGCTTATCTGCAGCCGCAGGCAGAATCAACGCCACAGTGCGCTGTTTGTTGCCCTTTGATTATTATGATTTTACTCTCTTCGATGTTCACTCTTACTCGCACACATACACATGTACATGTATGCACAGCTCAAGATGCCGCCTACTCAACGAAGCGCAGTGTCGCAGCGTCTGTCTGATTTTCTTGAAAATCACAGTTTGAAAAAGAGAGGGAGAGAATGTACTTGCACTCACACACACACACATTCTATATTAATTCCAGAAATAAATGCACACAGTCTGTATGCATGAGTTTGTTTATGTGTGTGCGTGTAATTAATCATGGTACTGTGTTTACAAATCCTTTAATTAATTGAACTAGCTCTCTTGTGTTTGTAACTACAGCTCGCTCTCTCTCTCACTCTCTGCCTTTTGGAGCGCAATAGGCTTAGCACAGTTTCGCTGTAAATGAGATTAGTTGACTTCAAGCCGTCGCGGCGCTTAAGCGAACTGTTTAGTAGACAAATTTCGATTTTTTGTTTAACGGTAAAAACAAAATGTGTAAGGTAATCATTAAGAATATAAGAAGAAGCGAAGCGTAAACAACCAGACAGCTCTTGACTGTATGACTGTGTGTGCATGTGTATGTGTATGTGCGCATGCAGCCCGGGGGCTGCTTGGCTCTGGGGGCTACTGTTGCAATGAACACACAAAAATAGCATAAGAGCATCTCGTTGTCGGGGTGCGTGTGCCGTTCGTATGGTCGTTCGTCAGAAGCAATAAAAATTAAAAAGCAAACAGCGATAAGCATTGCCCCTGCCCCTTTTTGCCTTAGCCCTGCGCACACATGGCAACCCTGACGCATAACGGTAAAGCATATAAAACCAAACAAATGCAAATGCAAATGCACAGACAGCAACAACAACAGCAGCAACATTATTGATGCCCTCTCTGACACGACAAATTCAATTGTGCCCATCTCCCTCCCTTATCAGTTGAGCTGGCCGCACGTGGGGTTGCTAACAGACGAAGCTTTCAGAAGGCTGCCCACCTTTGACCGCTTTGACTTTGATAAGGATTGCCAGGCAGCCAAAAATACTAAATTAAAGCCAGATTTGTGGCATGGAGGCATATTTTTGATGTAAGCGTCGCATAGTTGGTGACAAAATTGAAATACCCTTCATCAACGATTTGAGTGATGTGTCCTAATTGAAATTGAGTGGCAGTCAGAGCCAACTGCACCCCCCTCTTTCTTCGCCTTGTTATAATTCTCATTTTCACCTTTCCATTTGTGTGTTTGCTGTTTCAAGTTACGTTGACAGCAGGTTCAACGGCTGCGTGTTCCATTACGCAGATGGCAGACCGCACAGTGTGTGGCTTTCGGTTCCGTTTCTAGTTCCAGTTCGAGTTCTACACAGTCCACAATGTGACCTCTCTCTTGAAGCGTTAACTATTGCTGCCCCGTTTCCATTGGCCAATCGGCTTGAGTCATCTGCAGTCGCATTTTATCTGCAAATCTACGTGACTTGAGCAGCTCTCAGCTGACATCGAAGCTCAGTTTTAAGCGCTGCCAAATACTTAACCGGTTCAACGTTGTCAGACTCTCCGCCTTCCCCCTCTCTTTCTCTTCCTCTCTCTCTATCTCTACTATCCACTTCCAGCATCTGGCAAGCAAATTGGATTTGCTTA